GTCTTATGAATTTTGGGGTGTTTTAAATTTCATTTTCTGGGCCAATTATTTAATTATATTTTAATGGTTTTTTAACATTTGTATTATATGTATTTTATTTGGCTGTTCACCGCCCTGAGTCCTTCGGGAGTAGAGCGGTATACAAATTCAATAAAAAAAATAATAAATAAATAATAATAATAATAATAATAATAATAATAATAATAATAATAATGTGCTCCAAAATAAATTTAGAATGTGTGATGGCCCTAGACTAGGGATACTCTAGAATTTCAACCAGCAAGCATTTTTCAAGCAAACCAGTTTAATTTGCACTTCCTAGACTAATTCATGGGTAGGAATATAATTAACCTTTCATTTTAACATCTCTCTAAATGTTGTGACTCAGATCTTGGCTCAAGTTATATACGATGTTTGCATAAAGTTGCACACAAGGATGTTTGTTTCTTTGGATAAAATGCACTGAAATGCATTATCTAGAGTAAAGTGTGCATTATTTTTTAATTTAATGTGTATTAAAATAAGGAAGGCATAGATTCATGTGGAAAAGGGATGGAAGTAAATTATAAATGAGCATGTAGTAAACCGACACGGATGAAAATAATCTCATCCTCTTTACCCTAGAGGTACATTGATATATGCACAGAAATCTCCGTACCATGAGAAGCCCTTATGAATACATGGGATGATATGAGGCTTCCTGCCCTTGGAAAAGGGATGGACTATAGCAGGGGTCAGCAACCTGCAGCTCTGGAGCAGCATGTGGCTCTTTCAACCCTCTGCTGCGGCTCCCTGTTGCTGGTCGGCTCCACAATTGATAGGGCTTTCGATTAGGACAGGTAGAGGAAAAAGGACCCCATGCTAGGAGGGGACTCTATGATGGGGGAACCAGACTTCCAGAATTGGCTCCAGAATTGAACGGGGGCTTCCGGTTAGGACCTTTTTGGCTCTTTGAGTGATTAAGGTTGCCAACCCCTGGACTAGAACTTCAAGCTCCATGAGTTCAACTTCACATGGAGGTCAAACAAGTATCTGGCAGGGAGTACTCCTCTGCCTAGACTCAATACAGCCCCTTCCTTTTTGCATTTTAACAAATGAAGGGAAGAGGGTGAACCTTCTTTGATGATTCAAGAAAATGACTAGGAAAGAACACCTTTTTTTTAAAAAAAAGGATAAATTGGCCCTGTTTCCATACGCTTCACTAGATCACAGAGAGGGGTAAGTGTGCTTTGCAATTCTCCAATCACACAAACAACCTCTAATCCGTGAGAGACATATTTAGTCCCCAATAGTTATATACAGTGTGGAACTAAACTAACTCCCTTCGGATTATTAACTCCTGCATATTGTGTAGACTAAGTATTTATTTGGTAGTTTGAAGATCCTCTTCATTCCCACGAATGAGAAATAGCCCTAAAAAATTCCAATGAAAACAGAATACCTCTAGGATTGTCAGCTAGATGAATTTTCACCCTGCAACCACATGGGGGGTGGGGGGGGAGGCAAAAGGAACAAGGTTCTGAGAACCCCACAGAGGGAGAAAGGCCCAGAGTGAGGAGAGAGACAGCCTTCCAGCCCCCTTTGCAGAGATTAGAAGGGCTAAAAAATGGCTGCCATATTCATCATAGACCAGAATCACTGGGTCATGAGTATTCAGCTATTGAGTATGATCAGTGGTGGGATTCAAATAATTTAACAACCGATTCTCTGCCCTAATGACCGGCTGGGTGGGCATGGCCATGGTGTGGCCAGGGGGTGTGACATGCAGCACTCGGCCTCCTGCACCCCCCTGAGAGCAAAAATGGGCCATGGGGAGGGCCACACCCCCCACCCCGCACCCCATTTTGGGCCTAGTAGGCCTCCCTGCAGCCTCCTGGGAGCAAAAACGGGCCGCAGAGAGTCTGTGCCACATTCCCCGTGCCCCATTTTGGGCCTAGGAGGGCCCCCGAAGCCTCCTGGGAGCGAAAACAGGCTGCGGGTGGTGCCACCGCACATCCCCGTGCCCCATTTTGGGCCTAGTAGCTCCCTGCACTTACCTGGGAGCCAAAATGGGGCACTTGGGGACTCTTGGAAGGGACGGGGCAGGGAGAGGTGGGATGGGATGGGGCCACCCGAACCGGCTGAATACCACCACTGAGTATGATGTTCACAAACTCCTCTAAAATGTAGTTTAAATTAAAAGAATCATCCCTAGTCATGATCCATCTCTCTCTCTCTAATGATGAACAGACATATAGGTAATCCTCGACTTACGACCACAATTAAGCCCAAAATTTATGTTGCTAAGTGAAAAACTTATTAGGTGAGTTTTGCCCCATTTTACCACTTTTCTTGCCACATTTGTTAAGTGAATCCCTGCAGTTGCTAAGTTAGTAACACGATTGTTAAGTGAATCTGGCTTCCACATTGGCTTTGCTGGTCAGAGGTTTGCAAAAGGGAATCACATGACCTTGGGACATTTCAACCGTCATAAATATGAACCAACTGCCAAATATAAATCACATGACCATAGGGATGTTGGAACAGTCATTAAGTGTGAAAAAATAGTCATAAGTCACTTTTTTCAGTACTGTTGTATGTTCGAAGGGTCACTAAATGAACTTTGTAAGTTGAGAACTACCTGTACTCTACCCTAATATAATAAAAACACTTGGGGATAGTTGCCTTTAGCACCCATAGTCTCTACAAAAAAAAAAAAAAAAAAAGAACCCAAGTGTGTTGTCAACTATTTATTGGAAAAAAGAACAAACTATAAAGGAGATGCAAGATGAGCGATTTCCATCTTGAAGCAAATCTACAAAAATGGTAAATCAGTCTAAGCTTTAGGAGATGTCCCCGTTTAATTTATGAAACAAGAGGGACCACAGATGGGTTATAAAACATGTAGCCCAGCTACATGTTACATAACTTGGTCCCCAAGAAGGATACTGTAAAATCTCCAGTCCCACCCCACTCCAGGGGGAGGTTACTACAAAATCCCCATTTCCTCCCGATCAGCTGGGACCTGGGAGGCAGACAATAGATGCGGGCAGGGCCAGTCAGAATTTTTACTACCGGTTCTCTGAACTACTCAAAATTTCCACTACCGGTTCTACAGAACTGGTCAGAACCTGCTGAAACCCACCTCTGGTTTGTGCGCCTAACCCCCTTCTGTGCAGTGTTCAAAATACAGCCATTTGAAGTTCAGCTGCTTAACTTCTAAGGCAGCCCCGGTCAGTAGAACAGCGGAGGCATGGAAATCAGCTGTGCCGTGTGAATCAGCTGAGCCAGAAAGGAGGAAATATAGGAGAGGATAGGGCGGGGGTGGGTGGGCAGGGCCAGCTGATCGTCAGAACTACTGGTTCACCCGAACTGGTCTGAACTGACAGCAGCCCACCACTGGACTCATGTTCTACAATCCCAAATTGTCCGAAACATGAGCTAGAATCCTGCTTAGAATGAGGAGCATCATAGTAGAATAACATTAGCTTCGCTGTAAAAGTAACCTTTGGGGTCTTTCAGCATGAATTTCCAGATTCCCCAAAATGTAATGGGAGCCCTTGTCCATTTCTCAATTAAGGTGGCTTCACATGAAAACCATTCATATGTTCAATGAAAAGCGGATCCTGCACTCGCAGGAACATCTTGCTAGGAAGAAGAAGATATGAAAACCATCCCTACATTTTATTCTCTTCCTTTAAAAAAAAAAAAAATCAGCAGATGAAAATATATGTTATATTCATTTTCTCAACCAACAGTAGGTCAATTTTCTCTCAGCCTGAGTACCTTCCTTATACCGGGAAGTCAACTCCCAGGATTCCCCAGCCAGCTGAAAATTTTGGCAGCTGAAATCCACACACTTGGAGGTTATCCAGCTTGGAAAGGCTGCTGTAAACATTCTTCCTGTGTATTTATCTTTCCCTGTGACTTTCTGCTTATCCAAGGCCATTTGGTGTTCCTTGACATCATTCAAATTTAATTAAGGAACCATATCAGTTACCCTCTTTTGAAAGTTTCTGTTTAAAGACCAAAGAAATCCACCATTATGCACAGAAATAATGAGAGAAAGAATTATTACAGCTTTGCCACCATAGAGACATGAGCCAATGGGTATCTTGCCTCTAAATATCCATTTTCCTTTCTTTCTTTCTTTTTTTTCTCCACCCAAGTTTTCCCACATGTCCAGTGTCAGCCATCTGCCTCAAGGCAACTGTTTCCCTATCAATTATGCTTGCTTCAGAAACTGTTCAGTGTCCACTGCTTATAGTGAAAATCAGCCAGAGTCCTGGTAGCCTTCTGTGCACTGCCCACGGCAAAAAGAAGGGAAAAGCTGGCTTGAGTGTGGGGCAAGGCTTCAGATGAAAGAAGAAAGAACTTCATGAGAACAAGCTAGAGAAATCAGGGTGATGATCTGACTCTTGAGGTCAATTATCAACCTGCCTAGACAAGAGCAATCATACCCAAGTACAAATTCTGATTGAAAACTGTCTCCGGTATGTATCAGAAAAAGAAAAAGGGAAGAAAGATGAAACTACTTCTTCAATCCACACAACTTTATAATTTATGCTGTGCAACAAGACATCAAAGGACCAGTCACATGTGCTCTATATACAGATCAGACTGTTTAGAAGATCATGTCTCCATGCTAAAAATGCATTTGCCCATGGCAACTTCAGCAAATTGAAGGTTGCATAGCTAACTCTGAAGTTTCCCTCTCACGCACTAAGAGAGGAGTGTGGTTGTAAAATTTACCATACCATCACACATACAAAACAGTGAACATGCTAAAAATTTGATAGAACCAGAAGTAGGCATGTCATCGTGCATCATGACATTTGTAACTCAACAGGACTGGACATATCGTTATACTTGGTTGCAATGTTTTCAGCACAGGCACAAAATCAGCAGAGCTATTCAGAGTAATAGAAAATGTAGGGGTTTTTTCCCATATTTTTGCAACCTGCACAATTTGAAATCAACATTCCATACTGGGAGGAGAAGAAACGAGGCGAGAAACTTACGTAAAGCATGCCATTCATCTTGACGGATGGTCTTAGTAATGTTGTAGGTTAGATTCTTAGGAATGGTTGCTGAGGAGTAGTGGTACTTGATGTATGAACATTGGTCAATGGCTCCTGCAAAGACAAGAAATGGGAAACATAACATGACTGATGCCACAATAATTCTGTATTATTAAATGAAGTGCTACATCAGATCAGTATGAAGCATCATTACGGATGTTGTAAACAGTTTACTTAGATATAAAATGGGTAAGAGATGTATCTGAATATTCTGTCTTTCACTACACAGTCTTTTACAGCCTCATATTTTCATTAAATTCCCAAGCTGTCACTCCATTGATTGCCGGAGTTGATTTCAGTTGATTCGGCTGGTGAGATGGATGCCCTCTTCCTTTCTTACTCTTTATCTGTGTCCCTTCCTAAAGCTGCAGTTCAGTGGATGAAGATGGCTATCCCAGTTAGAAGGATATACTGTTCTTCAGAGAAAAGTACACTATAGCCCTGCTAGAACCTCCATACAAGATCATTCCTCAAGTCAACATCAAAAGGGAATATCTCCCATTGGGCTTATTCAGTGGCAACACTGCCATCACCATTAAGAAGGAATATATACCCTTCATCTGGACACCATCAAAGCTACACCAGCCAGGACATAGAAAAACTCAAAGAAGTAGTGCAAGATTGGAAGATATGGAGAGACCTGGCCCAAAGAATCACCAGGAGTTGGAAATGACTGAATAGATAACACCACCACCACCATCATCAACAACAACAACATCACACCCTTAACAAAGTTCTGTGAATTTATTCTTTCCTTGGAGAAATGTGGAGACATCATCTACCCAAAGATTGGAAGATGTGGAGAGACCTGACCCATTGAATCGCCAAGAGATGGAAATGACTGAATAGATATCATCATCATTATCATCACCACACCCTTAACAAAGTTCTGTGAATTTATTCTTTCCTTAGAGAAATTTGGAGACATCATCTACCAAAGATTGGAAGATGTGGAGAGACTTGGCCCATAGAATCACCAAGAGTTGGAAATGATTGAATAGATAACATCATCATTATCATCATCATCACACCCTTAACAAAGTTCTGTGAATTTATTCTTTCCTTGGAGAAATGTAGAGACATCATCCACCCAAAGATTGGAAGATGTGGAGAGTCCTGACTCATAGAATTGCCAAGAGATGGAAATGACTGAATAGATCATCATTATCATCATCACACCCTTAACAAAGTTCTGTGAATTTATCCTTCCTTTGGAGAAATGTGGAGACATCATCCACCCAATTTCCCCTTTGATGGAGAAATTTCTGCCCAGCATTAGTATTAACAAGTGTATCTATTAAACAGACTAGATGTGGTGCTCCCCAAACCACTGAACACACACAAAGGTCCTGATGCTAATGAAAGGACAAGGTAGATAAATGTAGAATAAAGCTTGACAGATACAGCCCTACCGTGAGGCAAAATAAGAAACATGGCTTAGGCGGAAGCGTTTTGCTGTCATGAAAAAGGAGCTTCTTGCCTTAGTAATATAATTTTTAACCACAGGCAAATGAAGTGAATCATTAAGTAAATAAAAAAAAAGCAAATTCCTAGATCCATTTATAAACAAATCAAAATCATCCTTATGATTAATAAATAAATGCTACCTAATCGGATTACATCCCTAAATAGATTTTCATTATTTCCTCATGTTGCACAGACAGGACTGAGACTAAGAAACAGTAGTTTTTGCTAATTATTCCCAAACCGCCCCTTTAGCTATAGACTGCTTCCATCCAATTTTCGCTCCTGGAATTTTAGTCCTTGTTTCTGGAGCAGAAATCTATTCAATTGCTATTTCTTCTTAATCTTCTTCCATCCAGGGTAAACATATTTTTAGCTTTCCCTATTGGGATTTGAGATTTGGTTACCAGATCTCATTGTTGTTGTTTTTTCTCCTCTAACTATATTCTAGACTGCCAGCAATTTCTCTAAAAGACTCACAACTGACTAAAGAATTATACTTTCAACCTTACCAGTGTAGTATAGAAGCAAATTATTACTGGAGAATTCATAGGTCAATAGCTACAATCTGAATTTGGAAACTGGCAATGAGATCCTTCCCACAGCTGTGATGTGGGGCAGGGTAGGGTTTACACAAAATCTTTGCCACAACAGGCATTGCAAGTCATGAAATATTACCACCACATCTGGGTTACCAAACCATGGATGATTTAACGAGGTGGCAACAAAGGGGTAATGAAAACATTGGTTCTTTCATCTAGTGTTCCTCTGCAGCCCAGATATAACTTAAGAAACATCCCTTTACAAGAAAGCAAATTATCCTGAGCCTCAATCCAACCCCATTTTCAAGATACTTTTTATTATCACAATTTATTTTTATTTATTTTATTTATTTATTTTGTCAAGCATATATAAGATAACAGGTAAAAGTATAAACATAATTTGAATACATGAAAAGAGTAAGTAAAAAGGAATATTAGGACAGGGATGGTAGGCACGCTGGTGCACTTATGCACGCCCCTTACAGACCTCTTAGGAATGGGGTGAGGTCAACGGTAGACAGTTTAAGGTTAAAGTTGTGGGGGTTTGGGGAAGAAACCACAGAGTCAGGTAGTGCATTCCAGGCATTGACCACTCTGTTACTGAAGTCATATTTTCTGCAATCAAGTTTGGAGTGGTTTACCTTGAGTTTGTATCTATTTGATCGTGTATTGTTGTGGTTGAAGCTGAAGTAGTCATTGACAGGTAGGACATTGTGGCAGATAATTTTATGTACTATGCATAGGTTAGACTGAAGTCGGTGTAGTTCTAAGTTGTGTAAGCCCAAAATTTGGAGTCTGGTGGCATAAGGTATTTTATTGCGGGTAGAGGAATGGAGGACTCTTCTCGTAAAATATCTCGATTGTATTTATGTCTGATATGCAGTGCGGGTTCCAGACAAATGAGCTGTATTCAAGAATTGGTCTAGCAAATGTTTTATAGTAGTAGAATATTACCAGAAAAGAAGCTACACATGATTAGGTTAACAACTCTTAATGCCTTTTTGGCAATGATGTTACAGTGGGCTCTGGCACTTAGATCTTTAGAAATGAGTACTCCAAGGTCCTTGACAGAGTGAGGGTCATCTACAAGATCATGTCCATCTAATTTGTATTTTATGTTTTGATTTTTTTTGCCAATGTGCAAGACAGAGCATTTGTTGGTTGAGATTTGAAGTTGCCACTTGTTAGACCAATCTGACACGTAGTCAAGGTTTTTTTGAAGGGTAGTTGCAGTGTCGGTGGTGTTGAACAGTTTTACATCATCTGTGAAAAGAACGCAATTGCTTTTAATATGATCGCAAAGGTCATTTATGTAAAGTATGAAGAGTGTTGGACCTAAAACACTGCCTTGGGGAACACCACTATTAACATGTCCAGGATTTGATAGAGTGCTTCCTATTTTGACCGTCTGTTTGACAGGAAGGCAGCTATCCATATATGTAGGAGTCCAAAAATGCCATAGGATTTTAGTTTTAGAAGTAATTTGTCGTGTACCACTGAATCAAAAGCTTTACAGAAGTCTATGCTTTTCCCCATTTCTCTCTCTAGTACAATTGGTAGGCCTACCATATTTGGACTGTAGAAATCCAAATAGCCACTAGCAACTCAGCAAAGTGTATTTCTGTATCTCTTCACTGCTATTTTATGATCCTCTGTAATTCTGCAACACAGATACAATAGCTAATAACTGGGCACACTTTCAAACAAAACACTGGATTATAGTCACCCATCATTTTTATTTCCTAGATAAGAATATCCATAGGGACAATATGAGATCTAGGGCAAATTTTTTTTTGGCAAAATGTTTTTATTTGCTTGTTTATTGCTCTTGAATACAGCTCAATGTGCCAAGAGTTCCAGTGGTTTACAAACTAACAACTTAAAACATCCACAGTTCAATGAGAAATACAGAATTAAAACATCCTCAGCAAATATAATGATAATTTAAACTTAAACTGCAGACTAAAATGCTGTTAAGTAGCACTTAGCTGCCAGCTGCCTGCAATTACTGCGAGTTCAAATCTCACCAGGCTCAAGGTTGACTTAGCCTTCCATCCTTCCGAGGTAGGTAAAATGAGGACCTGGATTGTGGGGGCAATAAGATGACTTTGTATAAAAAAGAACACCGCTTAGGGGGGGCCAAAAGCTCTACTAAGCAGGTATATACAAAAGTATGAAGGCTATTGCTTAACACATTGTAAGCCGCCCTGCATCTCCGGAGAAGGGTGGCATATAAATCGAACCAATAAATAAATAATAAATAAATAAAACTTAATTTCAGTAATTTGGTGGTGATGTGCAATCAAAGCTGGTGATTTGTTTGACAGCATGCCAGCTTTCCTTTTAAAACTGAAGAATCTATTAAAATCAGGTTAGACATGACATCTGATGAATGTACGCTGGTACCAAGGTACATCACCTGAATTATCTGAACATGATTCTGTAAGTGATCTTGGCATATGATATTTGATTCATTGTGATTTTATTTTTCACCGTTTCTCTTTATCCAATGAGCTTTAGAAAACTGTTAGGTCCTAAAACAGCAGTTGGCATGAATGCACCAGAAATATCAGAGGATGAGTCAAGCATTTTGCAACTAAATTACTAGTTACTACTACATAGGCGGGTTCACAACTTCCCAAGTTACCAGAGGTGTTCATTGTTTGCTTTCCTTGCATGCTCCTAACATTCTGCCTTTGACAGCAATTAGATTAGAGAAAGGCAAATATTATAGGGGGAAAAGCACAATATTTACATAGGCGCCCGTCTGCCCTGACAGCATGGTGGGCTCTGTTCTGTGCCTTTACCATCTGGGCACCAAATGCACATCCAGAATGAAAGTTTACAACTAAGAACTGTACTTAAAATGCAACACTGATATGATCGTTTCTCTTTCCCCCACCCCGCTCTAGAACATGCTGACCTCTTGCATGCCAAGGATGTGCAAGTTTTAGGGGGACAAAAATTATACTTGGCTTTGAGGAATATGTTGGACTCAGTCTGGAAAGGAGGTTGGGTCAAGAGATAAATAGATAGGACTAGTACGGA